ATATAGCGCAACTTCCAACGCAATCACGAAATACTTCTTCGAAGACCATACCTTCGTTCAATTATAATTTTTATATTTCTCTTCGCGATTATAATAAATATTAGAATGGTAATTTAAGAAGTGTATTTACCTCGATATAGCTATAAAAGGATAAATAAAAGTGATTTATGAGCTATTATGAAAAATTATTATGATCATATAATAAATTTTATTGTTTCGCTACGATGATAAATTTTTAATATTTCACACAATATTTTATTAATATTCTCACCGGATATACGTGTTTAATACACCGTAAAATAAGATGTTTGCATTTATTTTAAAATAAACTATTAAAAATAAATATTCGTATAATTGTGAAAAGAGTGTAACAGTAGTTATTTATTCATCGTAAAAGCGATTTATTTATTCGCAAGAAACATTGGAAAACGCTGTATCGAACGATTATTTCATGCATTGTGTTAACATGTAATATACGTTACGTTGTAAACATAATAAGGAGAGTCATGGTACTGAAGAAATCCTCTGTCGGTGGCTGTAAAAAGGTATGGATGATTGTTCGAACGCACGGTTGGCCAGAGCGGTTTCGATTCTATCGAAGCGGCGAGCAACGCAGCGAAGACAAACGACGTCACGTGGACCTTGAAAAAAAAAAAAAAAGAAAAAGAAGAGGAGGAAAAAAAAAGAAAGAAGAAAAGAAATTGCAGAAAGATCGCGATGAATTTCAATCAATAGGAATTTCTTGCAATTCGAGAAGAATACTTCAATTCGTATACGAGGAACAATGCGGCAGTTAGTCACAGATTGATCGTTCTCTGCGTCGAATAAAGTAGTAGCTCAGGCTTTTGATAATACAAAACTTTGGCTCGATGCGCAGTATCGCGTGGTTCGCATATCAATGATCTGAATTCGCAGGCAACACGGAAAGAGATTTCGTCGGGAGATGTAACGGTTATTCGCGTCTTGGGAATTATTTATAAAACCAGTCGATTCTCTTTATTCGCTTTCAACCCTTCCAACTCGAAAAAAGAAAGAAAGAAATTTTCGTGTAAAAATATTAAATCCAACCTTTTTTTAAAATCCCGATCCTCCATCGTGTGTAATTGTTATTTGTTAAAGTGCGAAAGGAAACGAAAGAGAAAAGGAAATAATTGCCTATGCAAACTCGCAAACGTGAAGTTTACGAATGAATAATCGACACGAACAGAGATTATTCCCGCTTACCTGCATAGTGTGATACACAACTTTGCTACAGGCTTGCAAACTATCTTCACCAACTAGAAATTTCAGCCCTGCCCGCCCATTTATATATTCCTCGTGGAGAGTAAACTCCTCCCACCCTGTCCAATATCATCTGCGATTGTTTCCTTTTTTTTTTTTCTTTTTTCTTTTGCTCAATTCTTCGTTTTCTCTCCGATCATCCGACGACGAGCAACGGGATACCTGCTCGCGATATTTTTTCGCGATACAAACGCTTCGTCATTACGCTTCAAATCTGTTTTCACGTCTGTTCGCAGATCCAGCTAGCGACGAAGGCGTGATTTATTAGAAGATGGAATTTTTCCTCGATCGTTGAATTATCGACGATGAAAGTTCGAAATCACGGAGAATTTCTTCTTCTCGTTTTTTCCAAACATTTATGAAAAACGGAGCTACGAAATGGATGGAAGAAAATTCTTGTACGAGTTTGTATCTGGTAATACGGTGGAGCAGAGTACCGTAAACACGGTATAAACGCGAGATTTATTTGTCGTCTCGAGCAGAATGGCCAAGACCGAGAGAGATCGTGGAAGGACAGAATATGCACGCGAACCGGTTAACGTTGGCAAATTGTTGTTTAGAATATGAATGAAGGGTGTGGCCTGCTTCGGCTTTGACACCCGAATCTACATTTCTAATGTTCTCGTGTGCCGTTCCTTCGATTTGATCCCAGATTACGCGTGACCCATTCACGAGTTTCTCTTCGCGAGGTTGAGATCGACGCGAATTGAAATGGAATTACTTTGAGAAAAGAAAAAAAAAAAAGAAGAAAGAAGAAAAAAAAAGAACGCGTACGTTATTGGAACACGAGTTATCGAGGGGGAAAACGATAACTATGCAGGTACGTACGTCGATAGACGGTGGAACATGAGGTTGACTTCAAGGTGTCCCTGTCAAAAATGTTTTTGACATCTCTCTTAAAGTTTACAAGTAACCTCATTTCACTACCGCACAATTAGCAATTTTGATATAAAAATCGCGGAGTTGGCAAAGTTTTACCCGCTTAATCATGGTTGCCCAACGTAATTCACGAAATCGGAAGTATTTAACTTCGCCGTGATTGGATCTGGTTATGGCTTATGACAAAGAATGGCTCTCAAGATTGTTTAACGGAAAATGCAAAAGACAACTTCCGATGGCGAGGTGCCACGACACGAAGTGTAGCATTGACAATGAAGCCAGTAGAAATGACGTGAATAGATGTCACGCCGACAACGTTTCGAGGTATGTATTATCCACGTTTAAATCCATCTTTGAATAGGTTATATCATTTTGAACCGATATTTCTATCCGTTTCCATTGGTGGAAATACGTTCGACGTCGCTCGATGCAATCTGCTAAACGTACGATAAATATCTTTATCGGTCGAAACAACGCTCGTTTTTATTTAATCGAATAACGAAATAATAAATCAACGCGATACGCACGCTTCACGAGTAAACCTAAAATTACCGAATCATCGATCACTGATGTTAATCAAGTCGTAAAAAAAAAAAAATTAGAGTTCCCCCCATTTTTTCGATGCGTGTATATTTAACAATAATCCGCGTGTTATATTTTTTTAAATATAAATATATGCGCTCGTGAATTTCGACACACGCGTGGATAAATATCGCGATTCGTTCAATATCGCGTTACGATTACGATTGATTTTTTGAAGAGGAATTTAGTGAAAAATGCGAAGGAATAGCGATAGTTGAACGGATAGAGAAAGAAAAAAGAAAGAAAAATGGGCGCGAATCTAGGAGAGGCAGGCAGGCAAGCCGGTGGACCGAAGTTTGAACGAAAGCGCCTTTTCGAAAATCGATAGAGAGAAGTTCGTGAGCCGTCGACTACGCTCGTGAAAGTTCGCACGGCCACTAATCAATCCGCGGGAGGTTTCGTGTTTATCAACAAGTGCCGCATACACCTGGCCTTGTTCGCGTCAGCTTCCGTGACGACGGGCTTCGTTCGTGGATCGTCACCACGTCGTCTGGTGACCAACCCCTTTCGTCATCAATCCTCGTTTCGAATCGTGTGTCGAAGGATGACGAGGTTAAACCGCGGAACCGTGTCCTCGCGCAGCCATCGCTTCGCTCCGTGACAAATCGTGCGTGCTGTTCCCATTGTTCTCGTCGAAGGTTATCCGCCTCCTCTTCTCCTCCTCCTCCACCACTGATATTTCCGCCTTTTCGCCTCTCCCCATCCCCCTCCTCTCTTCGCTTTTCTCCATTTTCTCGTTCCCGCGAGTTCATTGGAATTATTCGACTATTAATAACGCCGGGATCGTTGTGTCGTTGCACGATGGTGATTCTTCACCGAGCCTTGTTTTTCGCCAGATTTTCCTGAAGCTGGAGGACTGAACTGTGGTATTATGAATTTTGGGGAATTTTTCAACGGTGATTTTTTTTTCATATATTCCCGCGATCAGATTCTATCGTTGTGAAAGAAATAAAAAGTTGATTGGTTTTTGAGAGAGGTTAAGATTTAGAGTTGGGCTGCGAGATCACGATAAAGGGTTAAGCGAAGGATATTATCAAGAGTTACTCTGTTTCTTTGTTCATTTTTTTTATCGTTTCTCGTTCCAAGTTTGTAATTGCGTTACTGTTAAATTTTAATCGGATAATATTCTTTTTCTTTTTTTCTTTTTTTCTCCTTTTCGAATCTCAACAATAAAAAACGTTTTATTAATATTTGGTGATTTCATCTATATGTCGACTTATTTTCAAAGGATATATTTCGGAATTGTCTTTGAAAATTTCTTCATGTGTTTTCATCAGCCGTAAACATTGCTCTCGTGAAAAGAGAAATAACTCATCCACGTTTATTATAATTTACCGTCCAAAGATTTCCATTGGATTGGTGATCTCGTATAAAACGACGACGTTTTCCATCTTTTGGCAAACGGATTTCGTTGTTGCCATCTTTATAATAAACCACGCTCTTTCGACATATGCTTGCGCGTTGAAATCCGTCACTTTCGAAACAAGTTCTCATATTTTAAAACGAAACGTAATCTTCTTAAAATCCAGAGAGAAAGAGAGAAAATAAAAAAATCTCTTTCCCAATCGAGCGAGTTAAACATGGTCAGTGAATTTTTTATTCTCAATTTCTCTGGAATGGATTATTAAAAATGTGTGAAAGTGAAATGAAACGAATCTCAAACAACACGAGCGATGAACGAGATAAAAACAAGATATAATATATTCGCGTGAAAATTAATTAAATTAAAAATTAATTTAACGTTTAACGAGCGCTTATGTAAACGAGGCGTCGATACGAGGTGTTTTCTCTTATTATAACGTGACGCGCGCGTTTTTCTTCGAGGTTTCGCGATGCATCGATTAATGATCGAGGGATGCGATCGAGGAGGGTGGCATGGAAAATGTGGGAAAAGGGGGACGGTTTTCGGGAAGCGGCCGTCACTATAAATAGAGGCGCCTCATGCGTGCGTGCTATGCTTTTAAACATAGTTTTGGCAGCGCGAAACGTCAAACCGCCTCGGAGTGGCAAAGCGCGTGGATCGTTTCGCGTGGAAATTCAAGCATTGGCCGGACATTCTTCCATCTCTTCTCTGCGATATTTCTCCCGATCCAAATACCGTGACATCGAGACATCTCACGAAGTATCCAGGAATAAGATGTGACACCGTGTGTGTGATCGCAATAAAAAGAAAAAAAAAAAAAAAAGAATTATCCGTGCCTTTGTCCATTCGTCACGAGAGCAAAGAAATAAGAAGTCTGTCGACAACGTGGAATCGAATGAAACGTGTTCAAATTTCGATTTGAAGAGACGTTTCGAAAAAAAAAAAGAGAGAGAAAGAATAATACTCGATAGATTCGTAATAAAATTCGATTGGTTCGTTGATAAGGTATCAAATCAAATCTGGTTCTCGTTTCGACACCGCGTTTTCGACGATTCCCTTCTTATTTTTCCAACTAGGAGGGGGAGGAGAAGAACAGGGTGGTTGTTGAGGTCCCTGGCGAGAGAAATGAAAAGTGTGTTGGAAAAGCACGACAAGGAGAACCAGCGGCCGATGGATACCTGCCACGGGGACAACGAAAACGTGCAAGATGCCAAGGATGAAGAGTAAAAATCGCCACCACACTAACAAAAACGCCTGCCTCCGCGTTTCGTGCTGCTAGTGTTCGTCGCTCTGCGCCAGGTTTCCGGTCCTCGTTCTGATCGCACATTTCGAGACGCTTCGCACGCTTTTCCCTTTTTTTCATTCACGTATTCATGATACGATTAAAAGACGAGGAGGAATTTTTCATTGGAAGCTTAATTTTTGACCAAATTAAAACTTTCGCAACTTTTTCTTTGCTAGTAGAAATTATTAATAGCGAACAAAAATTTTACTTCTGTGCTTTTTGCTTCATCTTAACGAACGGATAAGTGTTTTCTTCATAAGTAAATGCAATAATACTCTCGATATCATTTTTGAGGAGGATGTATAGTTAAGTATATCTAGAAAATTAAGCGATATTCGAACAATCCAAATTTAAGTAATATCTATCAATTGTACATAATTTTCAATTGCACTTTGTATATAT